TCTTACCATTCTAGAGAAAGGTAAGTTATCTGTTATCGCTTACTCGTGCTTTTTTCCCCTGCGTAGATAGGTCGCCCACTGTTTGCTTCCTTTTTTTGTAGAAATGTCGGTCAAGAAACCAAATGGCCTCAAGAAGAAAGTGGTGGCTTCCGCGGTTGCCAAGAAAGCGCCAACTGCTTTAGTAACAAAGCAACCCATTGACATCGCTGGCACAAAGCGTAGCACGGGCGAATTTGGGGAAGGCTAAGTGTGAAGAAGCCCACGAATGCCTTGAAGGCAGTTGGCGGAAAGGTATTTGCGAGCCTCAAAAAGGGCCGGCAAAGAAAACACCCGAGCTAACTGGGGGCTCGGGGAACAGAAGGCATTCGAGCAATACGACGGCTCGGGCAAGAAAAAGTCGACTGAGCCCTTAGGGGGCTTAGGAAAATAGAAAGTGGCCTAACAGCAGGTTAGCTCAGGCAAAGAGGTCTTTGTGCAAGCTGGCGGCCAAAAGAAAACTATGGCCAAGGATTTGGTTAAGAAAAAGTCTGCTCCTACAGGCGAGGCTGGCACTGTCAGGGGGAGTAAGTCTAGCTTGTCTCAGCTGCGAGGCAAGAAAATGGATGAAGCAGCTCAAGATGTAGTTGATACGCTAATCGATCAACTCCTTGACCATATCAGCGTTAGGGCCGCAGCGGTTAGGGATGGCGTCACCCTGCGAACATTCATGGGCGTTAAGGATTCATCTCCCACCGAGATGTTGGCCTGGGTGTGCAGCTATACGGCAAAGGTATTAGTAGTTTGCCTAATTTACTTTTTTATGCATGCTATCAGTACTTCTTGCTAACTTTCCCTCATTTATTTAGGCTGTCATGGTAAGCAGGGTCTTCTACGACGAGTGCTATCCTACATTGGAAGACACTCACAAAGGATGGCAGCAAGTGGATAGTAAGAGCTTGAAAATACATATTTTGTTAGTGATTCAATTGGATTATTTGTGGAAAATGTGTTTAATTTGTGAAATTTGAGTTAATTATTTCATAAATATCTTTTATGGGATCACGGGGTGTATTTTGAGTATTTTCAAATTAAAAATGATATTTGAATGAAGAAGAATGATGTCGATGGAATTCATGACGAATAGGAACAAACGGTGCAAGAATCGAAGTTGAAATGAGAAAGTTGTGATGCGTTGAAGATGAAACGTAAAACTTAGAAATTTGTCAAGATGAGCATGCTTTGATATTTTTATCATAACTTGAGCTGTAGAAATCGGAATTCAATGATTCTTGTGGCATTGGAAAGATTATTCAGAGAGATACAAAGTTCATTTTGATGACCTTGCCAAATTCTGAATATTATATACTTGTGGGACAGAAAGAACGATCATCGCAGCGACTGTTTCTGTCACCACAGAGATGGATCACAGGCCTGTGTGGGTTATTGTATTTTCCTAATCTTAATTTGAGTGGTTTAAGGCATTTAATTCTTTCCTAATTAACCTTCAAACCCTAGCACTATAAATGAGGGTCTTTATTTAGTTTTGAGGGAGATTAAAAAGGAGAAAGAGCGGCTACTATTTTGGAGATCAGAATTCTTGCAATTTTCGTTCACCAATTAGAGAAGTTTTTCTATTTTCTTTCTTGAACTCATGTTTTTTAATACAATGGTTGTTTTTATTACTGCAATTATAAACTAAATTCCTTTTCTAGGGCTAAAGATGTAGCCTAATTTATGAATATGTGTTGACTTTATTGTTGTTAATTTTAATTGAGCATTAATTCTAAGTTTTATTATTGTGTGTAATGCTTTCAATTCTTAAAGGCCCGAGAGCTGAATGATTTTATGGGTTGGGTTGAGATCGAGAGATGAAACCTAATTAGTCTAAGGTAATAAAACCAGAGATTGAGCAAACGTTAGAGATAGGTTACCACGATCTATGAGGCTCTAGTAAATTCCATAAAACTTAATGATCTCTTAGCTTTTAAATCCACTTTAGAGATATTTTGGGTTGTTGTTTAAGGGTTAATTCGCTAATTGTTGGAAAGAAAGTTAGTGAAATATTAGAGAGTTTGGTCTTTAGAATAAGCTTAAGCTTAATTAGGTTAGCAATAATTTTTAATGCATACGATTAAATTGGTGTGAAATATGTGCCCTAGGTTTAGTCTTATTGATCTTTTTATCAGAGTATTAATACAATTATGCTTTTGTTTACTTTTTAGTTTGTTTTATTTTTCATTAATTCATTCTTAAAATTCTGTTTCATCAAATAGAAATAAAATAAACTAGTTTGGTACTTGGTAGGTAGTTCTCTTGGGATTCCACACTCGTTTACTCGAGCTTTACTACTTGCGCGATTTCGAACACTTGTGAATAGCTTGTCGATGGAGACGGTGAAGGAGAATGTCTTAGCCAGGGACCAAGTCGCGGAGAAGGCAAAGGAAGCAAAGCAGGCCAAGCTCAAACGACCCAGAGAGGAAATGGCGACCTTTGGGGTCAAGGAAAAGGAGTTCCTTGACAAGCTCAAAGCAAGTGAGGCTGTACAAGCCAAGGCTGAAGCCGAAGCAACAGAGTTTTCCTTAGCCCAAAAAGCTACCTCGGGTTGGGAGGCCAAGTTCAAACAAACCTCGCTCGACCTTGCTCAGGAGGCGGAAGGTCGAGGGAAAGCCGAAGCTGAGGTCGGGCAACTCAAGCTTCAAATTGAGGAGTTGAACGAGGCCATCATTACTTAGGCTTGACAGACGTCGGTCTTCCTTGTGCAAAAGTTGTGGGAAGCCCACCCTTCAATCGACTTCTCCTTCCTTCCATGAGCTTATCAGAGAGAGGTCGATAGAATGAAGACCGAGGCTCAGGGAATGGCCTACGTGTACTCAGATGACTCTGAGGATGATGGTGAAGGCCAAGAAGAGGTCGAGGAAGGTGAAGAGGAGATCGGGCTCAAGCAAGAAGTCGAGGATCCAACTCCCCTAGCTACACTTCCCCTGGGCGAGGCTCCCAACCTTGAATAGACTGCTACCATTCCTTCCATCGAGGAACCGTCTCTTCTTGTCGGCGACAAGCTCCCTAGACCGACTGAGGACGATGCCCCTGCTCTTCCAACTGCCTGAAAGATCATCATATATTTTTCTTTCTTTCTTTCTTTCTTTCTTTTTTCTTTTTTTTTTTTTTTTATTTGTTAGATTGTAATCGACCTCATCAATGAAAAGAATATATTTTAGTATATCCTCGTCGAGCAAATTTTTTATAATCTTGCAGAGTCATTTCAGTCGTCCTAACTGGACTTGTCATAAAGAATCCATATTTGCTCCAAGTTATGCATAGCTCACTTCTTAAAGAGCTTTTTCGAAAATATGAGAGGAAATCTTATGTGAAAAACAACTCTGATTTCGGATCCATTGTATGTTTCGAGTTTTGATCGCCGGCTTAAGGCCAATTTCCTTGACGTGTTTTTCTTGAATTTTTTTTCAAGTTTAACTTCGTCGATTCGGGATATTTCACCCTTATAGAGTCAGATTTTGGCTTGGCTTATTGAGATAAATTGCATTTTTTCTGACTCTTGACTCCAAGTTCTTTTTTAAATACTATCGCGTAGATCACAATTTTTGAAACGATGAATAATAAGTGTTAAACGAGCAAAAATGACAATGATGAACAAAGAAAGATTTTGAATAATAACTCTTTCATTGATAAAACATTTTGGCCATGAACGGCCTTACCATGAATGATAAAAAGAAAGACATAGGCGGAACACGAGCTGCTTATTGGTAGTACAGTCGCAAATGTTCGACGTTCCAGGCTTGAAATCGCCATTGAAGTGTTCCAGGTAGAAAGTTCTTGGCGCGAGCTTTTCAACGATCCTAAAAGAACCTTCCTATTTGGGCCCAAATGCCCCCAAGTTCGGGTTTTAAATACCTTGGACAACCTTTCTGAGAATCAGATCGCCCACTTCAAAGTCTCTGTTTTTGACTTTAGTGTTAAAATATCGTTTGGCTTGCTGTTGATATGTGGCAAGCCTTAACTGAGACTCGGCCCGATGCTCTTCGATTAGGTCTAGCCTCAAGCGGAGAAGGTCCCCATTTACTTCTTCATCAAAAACTTTCCTTCAGAATAAATTGATCCCTACTTCAACCGGGGCCATTGCTTCACACCCGTAAGACAAAGAGAATGGGGTTTCACCTGTCGAGCTCTTGGCTATCATCTTGTAGGACCACAAGGCTTCAAGCAATTCTTCGGCCCATCTTTCCTTCAAAGCGTCGAGCTTCCTTTTGATGGTATGTTTGATGACCTTGTTTATAACCTCTACTTGACCACTGGGTTGTAGCCGATAAACAACGGCGAAGCTCTTCTTGATACCAAGCTGTTCGCCTTAAGATCTGAAGTCTTCACTGTCGAATCTTTTCCCATTGTCAGTAATTATAGTGCGGGGGATTCTGAACCTACAATGATGTTTTTGTAGACAAAATCCTTTAGCTTGTTCGACGTGATGGTGGCTAAAGGCTCGACTGCCGCCCATTTGGTAAAGTGGTCCACGACAACAGCTACGAACTTAACGCCCCCATTTCCTTGAGGCAAAGGACCGATTAGGTCGATCCCCCATATTGCGAATGACCAAGGGCTTGTTAACGTAGTTAACTCTTGGGGTGGAGCTCATGGAGTGTCTGTGAATCTCTGTCATTTGTCGTATCTGTGCACATAGTCCACTGTATCATCAAAAACTGTTGGCTAGTAGTAACCTTGACGAAGCAGTTTGTATGCTAGAGATTTACCTCCTGCATGGTTCCCATAAATTCCCTCATGGATCTTCCTCAGAACATAATCTACGTCCTCGTGGTCAATATATCGCAGTAGCGGTACATTGAATTTGTGCTTATACAACTTATCATTGATGCTTGTGTACCGAGTTGACTTTGCACGGAGTGTTCTAGCTTCAGTTCTTCCTTCCTTCAGTGTACCATCCCTTTTAGTTAGGCAATGATTGCGTCTATCTAACTGTATCTCTAACTCGTTGCTAAGACTGACTCTTATGGAGCGGAGGTGTTTGGTCTTGGGAGGAATTTAATTGGTATGGAATCAGCTTTCTCTTGGTCCATTGTAGAGGTTAGGTGGGCTAAAGCATCAGCTATCGAGTTCTTCTCCCTTGCGATCTGAAGAACTATGAAGGATCTAAACTGCTCGAGCTCGGATTTCACCAGCTGGAGGCAGGACGCCATCCTATCTTCCTTCGTCGAGTACTTCCTGGTAATTTGGTGGACTATGAGCTGGGAATCACTGTAAATTTTAATGGACTTTGCCCCCATTTCTTTGGCAAGGCGGATCCTTGCGAGCAATGCCTCGTACTCAGCCTCGTTGTTGGAGGCGGCGAACTCAAATCTTATTATGGCTGTGATTGGGTTTCCCTCTGGAATTTTGAGCAAGAGCCCTACTCCTGCCCCCTTCTCATTCGAGGAGTCATCCACATATAGAGTCCAATGCCATAGTTCATCGAGCTTTGGCTTATGCTGCTTGACTTCTTCCAAGGTATTTGCCTTTAGCAGGCTTAGTTCCCCTTCCGGCTGATAGGAAAATTCTGATATGAAATCTGCCAAGGCCTGATCTTTGATTGTTGTTCTCGGGATGTACTTGATATCATGCTGACTCATTTCCATTGTCCACTGGATCAATCTACCTGATGTATTGGGCTTCTACATTATTTTTTCCAAAGGAAAGTTGGTCAGCATGTGAATAGAGTTCCCTTGGAAATAAGGCTATAACTTCTTGGCAGCGATGACAAGGGCGTAGGTGAGCTTCTCCATTTCAGGGTATCTCGTCTTTGCATTAAGCACCCTCTTGCTCACACAATATACAGACCACTGCACTTCTCCTTCTTCGTGTACCAATGTCGCGTTGATAACGAACTTTAATACCGACAAATACAATAGCAGTGGCTCGCCCTAGACAGACTTTGACAACACAAAAGGTCATCCCAGATGTTTCTTTAGCTCTTAGAAGTCTCTTTCACACTCCTTTGTCCACTTGAAACCTTTCTTCCATTTCAAGGTCTCAAAGAATGGTAAGCATCTATGGCTCGAGAAACAAACCTGTTGAGCGCAGCCACACATCCTGTCAAGCTCTGTACCTACCTTATGCTGGTCAGGCTTTTCATATCCAATAGAGTATGAGTCTTCTCTAAGTTGGCTTCAACACCTCGTTGATTTACAAGGAACCCTAAGAATTTTTCCGAGCTTACTCCGAAAGCACATTTTAGGGGGTTGAGCTTCATTCTGTATTTTCTAAAGATGTCAAACATTTCCCCCTAATGCTTAACATGGCTTTCGGCAACCTTTGATTTGACGAGCATGTTGTTGATGTATACCTCCATAGTCTTGCCAATTTGGTTGGCGAACATCTTGTTCACCAAACGCTAGTAGGTCGCCTTAGTGTTCTTTAGGCCAAACGGCATAAACCTGTAACAATAAATCCCACGATTAGTAATAAAGGAGGTATGCTCTTCATCGGGCTAATACATCGGGATTTGGTTATATCCCGAGTATGCGTCCATGAAGCTAAGTAGTCCATTTCCAACTGTCGCTTCTACTAGTTGGTTGATCCGTGGTAGCGAAAAGTTATCTTTTGGACAGGCTTTATTCAAATCTGAGAAGTCGACGTAAGTCCGCCACTTGCCATTCGACTTCTTAACTAGGATTGGGTTGGCGAGCCAATCCGGATACTACACTTCCCTAATGAAGTTGATGTTCAGAAGTTTATCAACTTTATCCTTGAGCGCTTTAGAGTGCTCTGCATCCATAGACCTTCTTTTTTGTCTTATTGGCCGAGCTTTTGGGTCGATGTTTAGCCTGTGACACATTACCTAAGGCTGATCCCCACCATATATGCATGCACCCATGTGAACACGTCGAGGTTTTTCTTCAAAAACCTCACCAAATTGTCAACCATTTCTTTGCTCAGGCTACTGCCAATTTTCAATACTCGAGTTGGATCTTCCTTGCTGACACATATTTCTCGTAGCTCTTCCATCAGCCCTGCTGCGAGCTCTTCTCTATGGATGCGAGGATCTATGATATCCTCAAAAGGTTTGAGATTCGGCTCAGATTTTGGAATAACCATTGTCCTTGGGAGCATCCATTTTTTTGCAGCATTTATGGCCTACTTGTAACATTCTCGAGATTCTTTTCTGTAGCTTCTTATCGTCGTGACTCCCTCGGGAGTTGCGAACCTTATTGCTTGGCAGCGCACTGAAGTGACTATGCTCAGATCATCCAAAATCAGTCTTTCGAGGATGACATTGTATGCAATCAGGCAGTCTACCACTAGGAATTTGGTCGTCAACTTCCTGATTTTGGGCTCTGCCCCCAAAGTCATGAGAAGGTCAATTGTCCCCTTGGGAACCAGGCTGTCCCCGGTAAATCCATAAAGCGGCAAAGGGCACGCCCTTAGGTATCTCTTCGTGAACCTCATTCCTCGGAAAGCTCCTAAGAAAATGATGTTTGATGCACTCTCATTATTAACCATCACCCCCAGTACTCTGGCATTGCCAATTCTGGCTACAATTATGATCACATCATGATTATGGTGAGAGAATTATTCGCATTCTTCGATTGTGAACCCTACCACCTCGCTCTCTTATCTGGGTAGTTTCGACGGCTTCTGTTCATAGCTCATTATCCGTGGGACCGAATCTGTTTTGGCCTCTAGAGCATATTACTCGCGAACGCGCCTTGAGTTGTTCATTATGTTGGGCCCCCCATAGATCATGCCTACCAGGACCTCATTGTTGGCGTTTGCTTGGGCTTACTATACCTGGTTCCAGACCTGGTTGTTTTGCTCGCCAATACTTTCACGGGTCGGTGCCCCTTGACAAATTCCTTTAGGTAACCCCTCTGTATCAGGTCTTCGATGGCATTTTTCAATGCCCGACACTCATTGGTGTTGTGCCCGATGTCCCAGTGGTATCGACAATATCTTTGCCGATCTATTCTGCCTAGAGTCCCTCTCATCTTTTCTGGAGCAGGTAATCTTTTTGCCTTACGGGAGACTTCGTAGATGTGGGCTATGTCTTGCGTGAGGGGGGTATATTCTGCATACCGGGGGAAGGGTTGCCTGTCCTTGCGGTTATCTTTTCTCTCTCTTTTTTGCGACCTATTGTGGTCTCTATCATTGCGGTTTTGGCCCTTACTTTTGTCTAATAGGCGATCTTGTTGCTTGTTCGAGGCTCCTCGTGTCGAGCTTTCAACTCGCTAGTGTTTTGCAGCCATCTGGTAAAACTTGGTTAAGCTCATGTGGTCTTCACTTTGAAGCTCTTTCCATAGCTCCGTGTTCGGCCTGATGCATGCAATCAACAAATTCTGGATTAACCCTTCGGGTGCATCCGCGACCTTTGCTTGCTTGTTCTGGAACCTCGTTAAATACGAGGTTAGGGTTTCGTCTCTCTCCTGACCAATATTGCTCAAGTAGTTGAGCGGCATTACAAATTGTCTCCTCACTTGGAATTGCTATAAGTACAGCGAAGGGAACTATTGCTAACAACTGTGGACTTCACGTTGAGTCTTTTGTACCACCTCTTGGCATCTCCTACCAATGTTACTGCGAAGCAACCACATTTCGTTAGGTCACAGACCTGGTGCAACTCCATCAGGTCATTGAAATTATCGAAGTGGTCTCTGAGGTCTCCTCTCCCGTCGAACTTACTCTTTAGCGCCCTGAATCCTTGTGGAAGTAGGGCCTAGCGAACCTCTTTTGTGAAGGGGGATCTCATTATTTCTTCCGCCACACCGTTCTGGCAGGCCTTTAGATCGTCGAGCATTTTCTTCATGCGATCCAAGTCTTTATTGTGATTACCCTGGCTGGCTCTGTTCAACTTTACCTCGAGTAAGTGAGTTCGCAAATCTGTCACTTGTGAACCTCCTTCATTGCATGTATTGATGCGCAAGGTTGAGTCATGATGGCTCGGTTGGTAAGTGTTATCATGCTCGTCAATGCGTTGCTCACGACGTCGGTTATAACCGGAACGTCGATCATTGCTAGATTGGTGCACATTACTTATCTCGCGAGCTTGTAAGGATCAAGCTTGTCTCGAGTGCGGGTTAAGACGGGCACGCTGATGTTAAGGATTCCACTAGGAAAGTCGAGCGTCTCGTGGGCAACCATTACCTTCGTTTTCACCCACTGGTTGTTTCCCCGACCGCCTCTCAAGGTTAGTTTGTCCACGAGACTCACGCTCGTGGGCAAAGTGCACCCTTTGACGTTGGGGGTGTTAGTCGCCCCTTGGCGCCGATGAGCCAAACTAGTCCCCGGCTGAAGTCCGACCCATCAGGGTGGGATCAATAAAGTATGGCTGGTCAAGATTTTGGGCAGTTGGTTGCTGATTTCTTAGTTCAGCCACATTCTGTTACACCACTTGTGCAACCATAGTTCTGATCATTTCCACCAACTGTTCGTTTTCGGGGTTTGATGTTCCTGCCCCTTGGTTATTCGTGGCATGTTGAGATGGTAGCAATGGTGCTCGACGCCCAGCAACGTCCTGTTGCACCTCTTAATGGGTGGTCTCCACATCGTCGTGGTTTCCGGCGGTGGTTTTTAATCTTATACACACCATCATGAGCCTGAAATGGTTAGATCGATGTGGTTGTTTGCCGGAATTTCTGATATGTTGGCAAAGGCCCTCCTTCTAGCGCCAAAATGTTGATACAGAAATCTGTACTAACTAAAGTGATCTGATCGACCTTGGCAGGATCGGAACTGATGTGTGCGTGATTACGGATAACCAGCAATGGATGAATAATGAATGCAGTAATTTAAATGGAAAAAAAGGATTTTAAAGTGGCTCGGCGAGATGAACTCTAAAGCTTACGTCCACTGTTCTTTGTATTTGTTGTGTGAGCTTATAGTAGTAATTCTAGGAGTATTTTCCAACCATTTCCTCATCGTTTGAGGGGATTTATATACAAAGTTTGTACAAAGGAAAGAGCGAAATTAAAGGGATTACAATTAAATTGAAATGCGACTCCGATATTCTTGTGATTGGGCACTGTGATTGCACAAAGATTGTTGTCAATCTGATCATTCCCGAGATATATGGGATCTGAAGTTATCTGGGAATTGATTGAATGCTCACTTGGATTGTTCGCAACTAGCTTGTGCTGGGTCGAGCTAAATCTCGACAAGCTTATGCTGGGTCGGATAATCAGTAGAGTCAGATTGATTCTGGGTCGAGCTAGCTATTACCTTGCAGCTCTCAGAGCTTGATGGAAAAATCACACACAACAGATTTAAAATAACATAGCAAAAAAAAAATTATTATTCTTAAAGCTAAGAAATGATTTTTTTATCACTAATTTTTTTGTAATTTTATTTATTTATCGATACTAATTAAGTCAATAGTAAAAGCAATTAAATTTTTAGATGAATTATTAAATTTTAATGAATACCCGTCAAAAATGTAATTGAAAAACTAAAAATAAATTAATATGATACATTGATGCTACAAACATTTTACTATATTTCATATAATATTATGCTATAAAATACTATAAGTTACAGTAATTTACCATAATTGTGCACCAAACATACTCTTAAGTCAAGGGGCATGTGCCTTGCTGGATTGCATGTAGGTTCGCTCACCAGTAAATTAAACCAGTATCATTCACTTTTAAATTTTATGTTGTTTCATTAAAATTTATCTAAAATTTATCACATTTGTTTGGTTTTCAAATATAAAAATATGTAGAATATATTCATATTAGATGCTAATTGGCTGGATGGCATTATATTCTATTCACTGGATTTTAGGTTTTTTTTTTTTTTTTTCCCCCAATAATCAAAGTTTCCACTCCCACAGTGACGAAGTACAAAGATAGGTTTGGTTTTGGTAAGTTCTGCCTAAATAATTAATTAAGTTAAACAAATCTCAGTTATTCATAAATAATTCAACTCATTTATAATGTTTTGTAATATTCATTTACAAAAGAATGTTTGATCTGCGGGTGTTGCAGCCCACATGATGTAAAAGGAACAAACATAGAAAGAGGGGTATTTCTCCACGTGGCCATATAATTTCAACCTATAGAAATGAAGTAATACGGAAAATCCATTCAATTCATTACATGTAAAAAATTGCAAGCATACAATATGTAAAAAATTGCAAGCATACAATGTACAATTTTTTTGGTGAACTGAACTGTAGACTCGTAAAAAAAATATATACGAATCTGATGGATGACCAAATAAAAAAATATGATAATCTGTACCCGAATTTAAAACCTCAGTAACTCCAGATTCTAAAAATGTCCAGAATTCTGATATCGGTAAACTAATCACCTAAAAGTTCCAAAGAAATGAATCATCAACTAAAATCCCATCAAAGTTTTGTTCTCCATAATCAACGGTTGGCTGTGGTGGTACAAAAATATCATTAGAAAGGTCATCAAATCCGGGAAATATCCCATAACCCGAAGTGTAATTACTTGAACCCGACGTCGTTAAAAGATCCAAAAAAGATCCGTCAAAAACCCCATCACCATCCAACTGCACCGTTCCTTCTGAGACTGAGGGAGACGAATACTCCATTTGAAGTTCCGACCGGTGGCTTTCTGGACGCTCCGAATTCGCAAACCTAGCTGCAACAGATTGAATCTCGGACGGACTAAGCGACCGTCCACCGGCTATGTCCGGTGGATTGTCGGGAAAATTGAACTTACCTGAATGGCCGCGTAAACAAAAAAGTGCGGCGTCGAAAGCACGTGCGGCTTTTTCAGCGGTGTCGTAGGATCCTAACCAAATTCGTTCGCGGCTGTTGGGGAGTCTGATTTCGGACACCCATTTGCCCCATTTTCGTTTTCGAACACCTTTGTAACGAGAGTCGGATCTTTGTGCCGGTTTTTCAGGTGTGTGTTTGACCATGTCTGATTTGATTGTTATAAGGTTTGATTTTGACTTTGCAGTTGAGGATCAAATAAAATTTTGGTGTTGTGTTTGTATTGATGACTATGAGGATGGGATTTATCTGGAGGTGTGTTTGTATATATATATATATGTATGTTTTGTGAAGGGAAGTGGGTTGATACTTAATACTAGTCTACTAGAGAGTCAATTGCGAGTGGTCAACACTCAACAGGCGCGTTGATTTAAAAGCAGTTAAAGAGTCAAGAGGGAGTATGGAAAGTTGTGTTTCTGGATTACGCGGGAGGAGTGTTGTAGCACGTTTTCTTTTATTTTATTTTTTAAAGAATAAAAATAACTACTCCGGAAATATTTTTTATGACAAAGACATACTTAAAGCTGCTTTACTCCATGCCGGACAAAATGATACTTGAATGCATTTTTCTTTTTAATGAAAATTGTCGAGTTAACGATTGTTTTTTACCTAAATAATGATTTAACGACATTTACTCACTAAAAGATTTTAAAAATATTATTTTATTATCAAAACCTATATTTCAATAGCTAATAAAAAACAAACTCTATTAAGACTATTAAAACTTTTGAAGAAAAAAGACTGATAAATCTTTTGATTATAAAAGATTGGATTTTGATGGTTGAGATTAATCGAAATTTGACTTAAAAAAGATGGTTGTGTAAACTCTAATCGGTCGATTGTTAGCAATTGATAGGGACAGCAGGAATAGTATTTGAGGGGTTTTGGTGAATAATGATCGAAAAATAGAATGATGATGGTGTAAGGTCACAACGATGTCGAAATTAGAAACGAAATATAAATTTGAATAATAAAATAGTATTTTAAAAATCTATAAGTGAAAGAGTGTAATTAAACTTTGGGTGAAAAAAAGTTATTTACTCGAAAACTGTTAGATGTTGATCCACAAACCTTTCTAGAATCTAAAATTTCCTTAATTCAAGAAACAGGATATTATCAACCTTTTTCTACATTTGACATTTTATTTCATTTAGCCAAAATTTTACAAACAAAATATCTTTATAGAATAATATTGTAACAATTTTATAATAACTTTTTCATTTAATTTTTGATACATTATTATATACAAATCTTGGTAAAAGATGTTTGTATGAATAATAATACTGATATAAAATAGGAAATGAAGAGCCTGATGTGGGCTAAGAATTAAGATGATAAGCGGAGAAGGATATTGCAGTTGGCATTTGGCATATCAACACGGGCGAGCAGAGCTAGGTATGTTTATTAATTTAGGTTTGGTAGTTAACAAAGGACTGATGCGTCATCCACAGTAACGTCAGCCTGATTAAACTATTCATAAATTACGCGTCAGCTTTCCCAAAATTTCCAAAAAGGGGTTCTCTCACTACTCTTAATTGCTCTTAAAACTACGTCATGGATGACCTCATCCAATCCATTAATCCACTTAAATTCAACCATAGTCCTTCGGTTCCACTTTTCAACTTATTATTTTAATAATTGATTAATTAATAATATCTTCAAAATAACTTTTTTTAGTTGTACATATAATTTTATGATTTTTTACAAAAAAAAAATAATTATATGCTTTAATCTGACTTCCATAATTTAAATAAAATCCAATTTCAGAACTCACACTACTGGACACAAAATAATTCCTTACTTGAAAGTTAACTTCGACTTAGTTGCATTTACTAATCAGAATTCGACCCAAAAATATATATAAAGATAGTTGCTTAATTAATGAAAGTCTATGAATTTAAACTAGATTTCAATGGAATTTACGATTAACAATTGATAAATATATAGTAAAACAGAAATGAATTTGGTTTTGATTTCCAAATAAAACGAATGTTAGCATAAATAATTGAACTATTGCTTTATTTTGATGCGGATGCAGGCACTGAAGGAACAACGAAGAAGGCTTTACACAACGTGCAAAATATATACTCATCCACAATTAAAACAACGAGTTACATGTGGCAAATACCTTACATTGATTAAAAAAAATAACTCAATTCAATTCACCACGTGCAAAAAGAAGTACAAGTTATTCATTTTACAATCTTCTCCCCCAATTCAAGTTCATATTTCACTCGACTAAAAGAAGAAGACCGTGAAAAAATGGTCTATCTGTACCAATCAGCAGCTCCAGAATCTAAAAATTTCCAGAACTCTGACTTAACTAATCACCTAGAGTTAGAAATTCCAAAGAAATGAATCATCCACTAAAATCCCATCAAAATTAATTTGGTCTCCATAATCAACGGTCGAAGGTGGTGCTGCAAAAATATCACCAGACAGATCATCAAACTGAGAAAAAACCCCAAGATCCGGCACGTAATTACTGGAATTCGTGGTAGATAAAAAATCCAAGAAGGAGCAGTCAAAGGCACCACCACTGTCTAAGTCTGAAATAGACGGAGAAGAATATTCCGTTTGTAAATCGGACACAGACTGTTCCGAAGATTGAGTTCTTGAACTTGAAGGCTCGGAATTTGCGAACCTTGCCGCAGCGGCTTGAATTTGGGGAGGACTAAGCGAGCGGCCACCTTCTATGTCTGGTTGATTGTCGGGAAAATTAAACTTGGCAGAGCAGCCACGTAAGCAAAAAAGTGCAGCGTCGAAAGCACGAGCGGCTTTTTCAGGGGTGTCGTAGGATCCCAACCAAATTCTTTGGCGGCTGTTTGGTAGTCTGATTTCTGAAACCCATTTGCCCCACTTTCGCTTGCGGACACCCTTGTAAATAGAGTCACTTGTCCTTGCAGGTTTCTTGCTTGTGGATTTCACCATTGTTGGAATTTTTATTTTTATTTTTCTTTGTTTGGTGGCTGTTGGATGTTATATTGTGTGTTTGCTGTTGCTGAGGATTTTATCTTTGTGTTGATTGAGGAATGAATTTGCGGCTGAGTGGATATATATAGTGGTGGGAGTTAGGTTGGTAGTGGGGAGGAAGGTGAGTCTCAGACTCTCAGTCAACACTCAAAACCAAAAGAGCGAGTTAATTTGAAGCGGAAAAGGAAAATAGTGGACACGTGGCAGATAAGAAAGTAGTGTTTCTGGATTACGCGGGTAGGGTGTTTTGGGGCTTTTAGCCACGTTTGTCTTTTATTTCTCGTGATCAAAGAGCGGAGTTAATAAGTATAATTAAAGTCAATGTCACCTGAATCGCAGCCCCACAAATTCTTAATTCCGAACGTCCCTAAAGTTTGAGATCTATTCCCTTTACCCCGTACTATAGTATAAAAAAGATTAAGGCTTCTGTTTGTTTCACTTTTGAGAATACTATTATTGAGAATATTATTATTAGTATTCTCAAAAAGGTTAAACAGTAAAATATCATTATTTTCAAAATATTATTATATATTTTTTAATTTCTTTTAAACTTTTTAAATTTGTTAATTTAACTAAACACTCCCAAATTTTTTTTTTAGAAATTGCAAAAACACTCCGGCCACCCTCCAACGGTGGTGGCCAGTTGTCCGTAGTTAATGGTTGGATTGAGGATATTTTTATTAACTTTTAATATTTTATTATAGGGGTGTTTAGTAAATAAACAAACATAGGGGATATTTTTGTTAATTTCCAAATTCTACATCGTAATACCCGCCCAATTTAACTTTTTTTAAAAGATTATTCTAAAAACTATTAGAATAATGAACCAAATGGAGCCTAATTGACTTCCTACAATCTTGGCATGATAACTACACCAAAGATCATAGGATTAACTTCCCAAGATCAAACCAATATCCTAAGAATCCCTCTTATAACTATTATCAATTCAGCAATATATAAACCCCCTTAAAATCATTGTAAAAGGGTTAGCAATTTCAGAGAGAAAATAACATAATTGTAAGTCAAAGACAAGATCGTTGCTTGCAATTGTCACTCAAATCTATCAATAAAATAATAATGGACGTAGGCATGATCGAACTTGCTGAACTACTTAAAAATGGAGTCGTGTTTTTATTGTTTCACTATATCTTTGCTGATTTTAATTAATCACGCCCACATCTTATTTGATTCCATCATGGTTAATTGGATATCTCTGGTTGTTGCGAGATTTCATCACAACATTTTGGTGCTAGAAGTATGGTCTTCTTTCCCTTGTCAATCTTATTCGTTAATCATGCATAACAACCATGACACGTACCAGAGCAACCAAAAGTGCAACTGGAGCAAATCAGACTAGTGATGATGAGCCCGGCCACTAAGAGGTTAACCAAAGGACCATGTAGACTCGCCCACCAATTGTTCCACCGTTAATCCCAACAGGGGGCACTAATGTCATCCAACCCAGAGAATGCCCAGATGATGAACATGTTGGGGTCGCTCACCAGTGCATTCCAAACCTTGTAGCAAGAGATGGCTAAAATGACAAAAGTCTAGCAAGGAAACCAGGCTCATAGCCAGCAAAACGTCGCTGCAAGAATGTAAGGCTAGGAGTTTGGAATTGCTAACAACGTCTTTAGTTCGTCCAGTGAGTGCCACCATCGGCGGCGAAGAGTTGGTGGAGCACAAAGGCATGAGGCTCAAGATCAAAATAACTCAGGCAGATGCCTAGGAAAGTAGCTAATGGGTAAGAGAGAAGGGCGCCAAGAAGTTGCTCACCCTGAGCAAGCAAACGGTCAAGCCCAGCATGTCGGTTTGAACCCATGCTAGGGGCGTACTTCGCGTCATTTAAATGCCCAAAACTGATGTGCCGATTACATCCACATCGGGAAACCTTAGATAATACCTATTGTCTGAGTAACTATAGTTCATCCTTGCAGGCCAGCATGCCTGATAAAAATGGACAGAAAGGATGGGTTTTAGATCTCCGCACTTATCTGGATTCACAGAGAACCGATCTTTGGACTCACCTCAATGCACAGGGGTCTAACTTAGGCCTGGTGAGAAATCCCCAGGTGAACGATTAGTTAGATTAGGTACAAAGAATACTTGATGACCTTAGAGCTCATCAAGACGACCAGGTTATCGGAGCTGTCAAATCCCATTCTCAAAAGAATTGTGTCGTGCACCCCTACCACTAGGCTTCAAATCGTCAGACATCAAGTTCGATGGTAAAAGTTATTTTTGAGTTCATCTTGACACCTTCAACGACCTAATGGAATTACATTAGGTCTCTGACCTTGCAAAGTACCGCTGCTTCGAGGTCACCTTGATTGAATAGGCGAAAAGGTGGTATAAAAGGCTTTCAGCGGGCTTAGTTCATTCATGGCAGCAGTTCAATGCACTCTACCTCTAGCAATTCTAAGCGAGGAGGCGGTTTGCAATGCCCTTGAGTTACCTCAGTAACATCCAGTAAGAAAATGGTGCAAAGCAAAGTTGCAAACGGGCGAGAATAGTCAATTCGAACACTCCTTATTGTCGCGGTAAGACCACAGAGTGATCTGTGGAAGGATTTGCAAGGCGAGAATCATGTAAGTCTAGCTCGTTTATACCAAATGGCCGTTAAATATCAACAATTAGAGAACTCGATGGTTGCGCTAAATGGTGGAGCCTCAAGTAACATTTCTATTCACAATGAAGATGAAGCCGGAGAAAAGAGGAAGGATGGTCAAGAGCGAGAAAACAGGGATAGACATCGTTTCTCAAGGAAATAGCGAACAAAATCGAGAAGTGACCGCGAGCCACTTCCTCGATTAAGCGATTATACTTATTTGGTTGCTCTTCTTGAAGAAATCTTCGTAGTGTCAAGCAAGGCGAGGCAATTACCTCGATTAGAGAAATTAAGAGGGCAATGCAGTAGGAGAGATTCCTAGAAATATCGTCGATATTACAAGGATGTCAATCATGACACAAATGAGTGCCAATCCCTAAAAGATGTCATAGAAGACCTCATTTGAAGAGGTCGCTTGAAGGAATTTGTGGACAAAACACGAGCTCGTGGAGACTGACAAGACCATGACGAACACCTGCAAGAATCTCTTTGTGTTCAAGCCAACCAAGTCTGGTAAATTTTATCATGTAAATTTTTTATTTTTTCGGTCCTTATTTGTAAAGGCCAAGTTCAGCCTATATCAATTGTGATTTTTAATTCACGAGAATTGATTACAAGTTGTCTGTAGCTCATTTTTAATTTGTTGTAAAATGTGCATAAGTGTCTTATTAATACGTTATAAAATCCTTGCATGGTCATGTGTTGGAAAAATCAACTACGCTGTAGCTCGGATCTTTAGTCCGAAGATGAAGAAGACATTGCAAAACTCGAAGTCATTAGGTTGAGAAGGCAATCCGGTTGTAATTTAGTGACTTGATCCTTAGGAGCACAACATCACCAAAACTTAAGCTTCCGGGGCATCCTTCATAACTCAATGATAGACGACTCGAACAAGGCTACTCACTTAGTCCTAAATCGACATCGACACCTCGAGGAGGATTCAAATATACCTCAAAGACAAAGACTCGAGAAAGGCCCCTTGCTATAACTCGACCTCGTCTTGAGATGGAATCCTCGAAATCACTTGAATTGAGAAAGACGATCATCACTATAACTTGAAGACTTATGGTCTTGATAGTCTTATGGAAAAAATGAAAAGTCAAGGTCGAGATTCCATCGTCACATAAGCTCCACCAAGTTCACCAACATGTTCCAAGCTTTTTCCTCGCCCAACTCCTTCTCTTCTTCAAGTTGCTTCTTTAGCTAGGCGACCTCATTTTCCAACTCGACAGTTTTTCGTGAGCTGAAAATAACTCCACCTTGCCTGAATCCAAATCAGCCTTTAAAGCCTCATTTTTATTAAAGAGTCTGGAGTTCAAGAGCATCTGTTTATCTCTATCTGCCACAAGCTAATTTTTCAAATTCTCCTCCTCTCAAAGCTGTTTAGCAAATTCTTTTTCATTCTCAGCCAGTTGGACCTTTGAAGACTCAATCTCCTTAGCAAGCTTTACCTTCACAATGGCTAGCTCCTCTTTCATTTTAGAAATCTTCTCGTTTGAAGATTTCTTGATCGTCTCCATCTTCTCGTTAATCTTATTAGATCACTCAAGGGTTACACCACTTTCTTGGACAAGCAGTGAGAAAACGTTCAAGCTCTGCATCCAAGGCGTTAAAATATCATCAAGCTGAGGTAAAAAAAAAATAAATAAATAAAGGAATAGCTAAAAGGAAGACGATCAAAGTTTGCCTTAAAGAGCATATCGGTTCCTTGCTGCAACTTTTGGTAAGGAGGCAGTTTCCTGAGATCCTCAAAGACATCCTCAAGATCATCTCATTTAATATCAAAGCCCTCATGGAAATGCAAGCAAACAATTTCATAAGTTTCTCATCCAACTGCTTGCTAAAACCCTTAACCTTTGAAGAACTGGCTCGCACAGCAGCCTCCTACTGAATGAATGGCAGTAAATCGTCCACTCTAACCTTCCTTTGATTGACAAGCTCCGCGGCATTCTCCTTAATTCTTCGACGGTCCAAATCTCGCAAGTCCTTTTCGAGGTCGCAAGGGAGCTTAGTGTTTTCTAATCTTTCTTTTGTTTTTTGAATCTTTTTCTAAAGCTGCCTACCTTTGATTCTTTGTTGGATAATTCTTATTTGGATCCCGTCTCCTCGAATCTTGTTTCCAAAATCCTGCTTCCCCGGATCCGATGTCTCAGAAGTAGTGTTTTTCTCCTGTTGGCGCTTTGGTTTTGGTAGCGAACATCTTTGAGAAGCATCGGGCGACCTTCAGCTAATTAAAGGAAAAGCCGAGCAAATGAAATGACGACGAAAGGGATACTTACTTGCTTACCTTCTCTTCTCAAAGATTGTATTAAAGCTTGCGGTAGGAGGACAGAATCCGAACTTGATCAAATTCTCAAGCGTGATGAGTTCTCTCACGTCGGGTCAAACCTCAGATAAGCAGTTAAACTCAAGAATTCACTCCTGAGACCCCTGAGGAAGATAAGATTCATTGTG